TATATATATATATATATATATATATATATATATATATATATATATATATATATATATGCATTTCGTAGATTTCAATACATATTCAAAAGTACACTTAAGGAGCTATGTGGGATAACCCGTCTGCCGCAGAGCGTTTATAGGGCTGAACCTATCGTGTAAACATTGTTCTTGTGATTGGTCATGTCACGACACGACACGACACGTACACGACACAAAAACATTCGCTGCAACTCTTGGAGACAATCGTACACAACGAAGATGTGTTCAAAACACACACAGCTCTACTCTCCAACACACGATTTTTTTTGTTTTGTTTTGTCGCGTTTCATTGTCATGGTCCCACATCGTACTTGCAATATCTACCTCTATCAATACCCCCCACGAAATTTAATTTAATTATATGCGTATTCACATACCCTCTCTAAGTGGGTCCACAATAGATTTTCTTGTAAGCAACAGAACTCAATTTGAAATAAAATTTCATGTTTGTTTGTACACCCAGAATTTTTTTCCCCGACCACAAAAAAAAAAATAAAAATACGAGAATCTCGTGCAAACGTCACATCGTATTTGTCCACGTCAGCATAACATACGAAACACAAGAACCGTTTACGTGTCTCTCTGCGACGGGCTTCTCCAGAATCCGGCCCCATGGAAATGGTCCCACATCTCGTTATCCAACTCCACGTCGTCGTTTTGCTCACCCCCCGTATTCTCTCTCTCCTCAAACTTAGTCTCTGCCGTTGGATCTTCTCCGTTAAATCTCAGCCGTCCAGACACCTCGCTCCCCTCCGCCGCCGAGAGCAGGCCCTGCCGCTTCCCGGAGAATCGCCGGCGCTTCTTCCGCCGCAACGCCTTCTTGCACATAGCCGCCGGGACCTTATAAACCGCCAAAACCACCAGGTTCACCACCGCGCAAGGGCAACAACAACACACAGCCGCGCACTCCGCCGCCGATCCTCCGGCGACCTCCGCCGCCTTCTTCCTCCTCTCCCCTGTAACCACCATGGCGGACGCTTTCACAATTCTCCCCGGAGATTTGATGATCGGTGGCGTCGCCGGTTCTTTAGATTCCGACGCGAGCAGGGGCTCTCTCTTGTTAACTGCAGGCGATCGGAGGATCACGTGACGAGTCATACCGGATCGAATCGAAAAACTCTCGATGTAAAACGGCTCTGGGTTTCTCAGAACTCGAACTCAGAGAAACCAAATTTTCCCGAGAAAAACGAATCCCAGGAAAAACGACCCATTTTCGATCCGATTCTTCAACGTCATCATGATTCCGGGCATCAAAACATGACGAAGAAGATAGGAGGGCGGAGGAGGAGGGGGCTTAAAGAGAGAGGGGAGGGGGATTCGGTTCCAAAACAAGTAAACCCCGCTGTATGATATAGCTGTTTGTTTGGGCGGAAAATTCAGAGGTGCCGAGAAAGCGAGAGAAAATCAAACGTCGGCTGAGAGAAAAGCGAAGAGCGAGGGAATAGGGGAGTCACTGTGACAGAAAGATATGCGTCGACACAGTAACGTAAATAAGGGCAACCGACATGATCGGAGGAGATAACTACTAGAGAGAGAGAAAGAGAGAGAGAGATTTGGTTAGGTCCACACGTTTAGTGGTTAATGGGAGAAAGTCGTTTTTGGAGCCGTTCTCTCTCTGTTTGCTTTGTTCAAACGGTAAGAGAGAGATCGCTAATGATTGATTATCAAAATCCCTTTGAATTTATTATTTGTTTTTAAAAGGAAAAATCCTTTTGATTTCCATTTTGTAATATGTATTATCTCTATGTGATACACCGAATGTGTTACGTGTGTATATGTGCATGCATGTCTATGTCTATGTCTATGTGCATTCACTCGCATGTATTTCGAACATAAATGGCTTATACGATTTTTCATATAGTTACCAGAATTACTATTTAATTATAAAATTAGTAAATCTAACAAGAAATATATATTTGTAAAGATATTACAAGGTCCAGTTTTTAGCTTTAACAACTAAAAAAAATGTTTTTTGTCTATTTATATTAGTTTCAACATTTTTAAAATCTAACCGATAATCGCTTGAACAAATTTTTGAGCAAAATCTTAACTAATACAAACTGTATTTTTTTTCCTAATAATTGCATGTCTTGAAATCCTATCTAATATTCTAAATGTTCACTATTTCTAAACATTTTGAAACAAAATCTTGAAAGTGTATATTTTTTAATTCTTTATGTATTGTATTAGAGGTGTGAAATGAAATAAATAACTAGTATTTTTATATATTACATGTTTAAAAATTTTCTTTTTATCAACTTCACGGTCAAACTTTTACCTAGAAAATTGCAATATATATCTGTAAAATTAAGATATCATATTTGGACTAAACTAAAAGGAAAAAATAGAAATTTACTTAACAGTTTTCTTGCTCTAACTAAACCATTTTAGATTTCAGAAAATCCATAAATAGATAAAAAAAAATATTTTATTTATAAAAAACTGAACTCATAATACTAAAAGCTAAATCCTAATATGAAGATAAATTTGTTTTGCCGTAACGTTTTTTGATACATTAGAAAATAAGAAAAATCTAATACTAATTTAAATAATTTTAACAAAAGATATTTTTTAAGATTTCAAATACATCAATTCATTTATTTGTTTGGTCAGAGGCTATTCAGTATATTGGCGTATTTAATTTTAATAATTTTTCTGTTTAAATAGTCATCACATTCACGGACAGGCTGTACAGTCAAAAAGTATTGGAAGCGCCAACCGAAGGCAGTTCCAGGAAAGGACATATCTTCATCTGGAAATTGAATCCACGTCATCAATACATTGCATTTATCCACACATATAATATATATATATATATCTTTATATATATGATTTTCGATTCTCTTTTCTCTTTCTTCGTTCATTAAACCTTGCGTATAACACCGAAACCTAACAACGGCCAAACATAATGAGTATCATCACCATTGATATTTAGAAAACAATTGTTTTTTTGTTTTTATATAAATATATAATCATGCCAAATTAAAAAATAAAAAGAAAAAAGAAAAAAAAGATCGAAACAAAAATTACCAAAATAAGAACAAAAGAATCTAGTAGAATATCCTCCAAAAAATCCAGTCAAGCCATCCTCCTGAATCTTGTCATAACACCATGCGGAATTGTCAGATCATCATGCCATCATACACACACTATTATTATTAAGTCACTTTGTTTTAAAAAAATCATACTTTTGATTAAAAAAAAAACAAATAGAAACTTTATAAAAAAAAACAATATCCTTGATACGTATTATTAGGATTTTAAGATAATAACTTTAAATAACCCATTGTTAATCATTGAGAGTCTAATCGTTGGTCAGTAACTATAACCGTCATATATCTTTGAAAACCCGTAATAAAAACCCAAAAAACATATTTTGTTATGTCAAATTCAATTCCATAAACCCCCCACCGACCGAAAAAAAACCATATATTGTGTTGTATTTTATTTTATTTTTTAAATAGTTGAATATCCTAAACCGAAGTTTAGACTATAATCCCAGACTAATCTTGTGTTGTATGTTGCATAAACTATATATATAAAAGTTCGTGAGATAATGTGTTGTATAATATTGATAATTGAATGACTTTAAATAGATAAATAAATTAAAACTAAATAAAAAAAACTTTGTAATTTGTATAATATGAAGTCCATACAAATTAAAACTCCCAATAATCTTTTTTTTTCTTCAGTACGTACAAAGGCATTTCTGGTCGCGGTAGAGAGCTTCAACTTGGAGAAGACCATAGAGACTTCATATGTTTCTGCTCTGACTTTGAATACAAATGTTATTTATGCTTTTGCATGATCTGTCCTGTAACGAAATTTGTTGATACATTCAAACATTCCACCATAAATCATATATTAAAATATTATGTGTTTATATAGAAGAAAAAATATACCAAACAAACTGGTAGGTGTATTTATAAAGATGAGAAGCTCAAGAGGGTGTGTGTGTGTTCGCATGGAAGAAAACTATTTTTGTACAAGTAGAAATATTCATAGTCAAGCGTATTTTTTTTAAGGGGTACTCATTTAATGAACACATTCACACACATTTTTTTTTTGGAATGAACATTCGCAGACATTTAATGAAGGACTCGTGTTATCCGTATCCTTATCATGTGCAATAAATAGCCACCACATGTAGAGAGAACAAACAAACAAACAAAACAGAGACCACACTGCGATTTCACTGAAACACGTTCCTTCCTTCTGCCCTTTGATTTCACGAGAGAGAGAGAGAGGGAGGGAGGGATGTTGCTGTCGCATACCAAGTTCCTTAATTCACGATTATCTTCAACATCTCTGATCCATCTCTGTGATTATCACAAGCGGAGACCAAAGTGCATAAAACCACTGAATAGTAAGAGGAAGAATGTTGCTGCTGTCTTCGTATCGAAGGAGCCAAGAAGCCACGCGCCGATTCTAATACCACGCGCCTCCGCAAGCGAGAAGTCATCGCAGCCCACAGGCACCGCCACCGTGCGGTGGCTTCTCGAACCTGTCGGTCAGTCAAATCAACTCCCTTTATCTAACGATTTCAGATTTCGAAACCCTAATCCCATATAATAACGATTCATGATCGGAGTTCGGAGTTCGGAGTTTCAGGTGATGGAGACTGGAAGCACATTGGTTACAGAGTGCAGTTGCCTGGCCCTTTCGAGATCTCATCCGTGAGCATATATATTAACCCTAACCCTAAAAAACCCAAAACCCCCTGTGTTTTGATTCCTCTCTCTCTCTCTATATATACATATATATGCCTGAAACCCCAAATCTACTTTTCTGAAATGGTTTTGGTTTTCAACAGAACGAAGTTACCGTTGGTCGGCTGCCGGACAAGGCAAACATGGTGATTCCCGTCGCCACGGGTAAACTCTGTCCGACATTTACTTACATTGTCTCGGGCATCTCTCTGCAATCATTCTGCGTTCAATGCAAGTAAAAAGATGAATTGTTGCAGTGTCGGGATTGCACGCCAGAATCCAAAAGAAAGGCGGAGAACTTCTCATCACCGACTTGGACAGTACCAATGGAACATTCATCGATGATAAGCGACTGGCACCAGGAGTCACGGCTTCTGTCCCCGAGGGAAGTCGGATCACCTTTGGTAAGACATAATAACACCAAATAACTTACATTGTCGGAGAAAGACGTACCATAAATGGGTTTTGGATGGTAATTCTCTCTCTCACTTTCTCTGCAGGAGACACAAACCTGGCGATATTTCAGGCTTTCAGGCTGGAGACCATAGAATCAGCAAATGAAACATCAGAAGAACAATCCCAGGAGGAACCTTCCACTGGTGACAAAACCAATTCAGCTACCTGAGACGCAAGTAAACATAATACATGTATCTGAGTTATTTGACATAGCTTCCCTGTTTCACATCTCACCTGGCACATGATCTGATCGGAAAAGAAGGGAAAAGCCGATGTAATAAAAGCAAATCAAAACTTCTCTTCAGCAGCTTTTTGAATGCCACACTGATTGTCATTGTACCGACTAGAAAATGGTGTTCTAAACAAGCTACCAAAAAGCAAACCAAAAGCTTCTCGATCTCAAGCATGAAGATATGTATAACGAAGTTATATCCTTCAGCTTAAGTTAAGGTCCATGTGAACACAATTAAACACGGGAGACAGATGGGATGTGGAGCGTATTCAATGTCCATAAGTTCATTGAAATTTGATCAACCAGAAGGGTAGAAGAAAGAGCTTATCGCCTCCTCATTCCACGGCCACGGCCACGGCCTCTGCCCATTGCACCCATAGCTGCCTCTCCTTGTGCACTCTCAGACTGCATTTTCAATTTTTTTTTTTTTTTAAAAAAACATGATTCCCAATGTTAGAACAGATAACAGGGTAAGACACACTGAAACAAAGAACAGGAAAAACCACATGCACTACCTTTGGGTTTTTCACAGTTTCATCCACACTTAAAATGAGGCAAGCTGCTTCAGTAGCAGCGTTTATAGCATTAATCTGCCAGAAGAATATCATGAAAACAGAGTCAGTAACATATTAGTATCCCTTTTATAAATGGATATCAGAAAGATTAGGAAACATCCACAAAAACATAATATGGGAAGAAGAAACTTGCAATCGGTAATGCACTCTCCAAATCATTTGACAGATGAAACGAATGAGTACCAACAAACAATTTGCTCGTGTCCAAAAGGAAATCATCAACTATCCAGGGTCTCCCATACCTTCACAACAGCTGGTTCCCACACAAAGTTAGCAAATGAATCCGCTATTCCACCAGTGTTGATATCCACTCCATAGGATGCTCCCTCACCTATTAAAACTGACATATTATAGCCAAAGGACTATAAACAGTATTGCTATAGAACCCAAACAAAGTGGATATTGAGACACAAAATACAGGCAAGAGAAGGCTAACCACTTGGCATCGCATGTTTCTGTCTGAGCTTGTTCAGGACATCAGTTGCATCAAATCCAGCATTGTCACATAATTGTCTTGGGATAACCTGCATTGCAAGGTTAAACAACAAACCTGTAAGGTTACAAATCCTATTATCATCAACATGAACAAAAGGAAGCCAGATAGTCTTCAAGATTAATTTGCTGATTTTTATAATTCTCTTATTATGGTTGATCACGTTTCTATAGAACATGTCTAGCAACCAAGAAGTTTTGTTCTTCAAAATATCCTACGATACAGAATACATGAGAAAAAACTCATTTTTTACATGCATATAGTACATAAGGTGTAATTCAAATCTTACTACGCATCACAAGTCAATGAAGCAAACTATCAAAGACAAGAAGAGGTACCTCCAGTGCTTTAGCATATGCGTTGATGAAAAGCTGTGATTTCCCAGCAATTGTTCGCGAATGCTGCCTCAGGTACTTGCTTATCTCCATCTGCAACCAGGAGCAAGCATTTAACTGTACATAACATTATCATAAATGCGACAAATAGAGGTCCATAATCATATATGCTAGACTTACATCAATAGCACCTCCCCCGGGAACTACAGTGGAGTTTTTAGAAGCCCTTCTCACAATCATAATTGCATCATGTAAACTCCTTTCAGCTTCCTCAATGAACTGCAATTAATTTACGATTAAAAGGAAATTCAATAATTGCAACGAAAAAATGAATTCTACATGAAGCCTCCAACAATGCATGTATACCTGATCAGCTCCACCACGAAGGACAATAGTCGCTGTACGTCCAGAAGGGCAACCGCTGAAGATGTTAAACCTCTCTCCCCCAACCTGTTTTTCTTCGAAGTGCTCACAAGATCCAAGAACCTGCAGCAGAAAAAGAATACCAAGTTTCAGTAAGTGAGAAGAAACAACAAGCAATTGAAAGATCATAAGCATATAAATTTGTAAAGAAAGAGAGCACTTTCCACTAACCTCATCAATTATGTTGTTAACACTTGTCTGAACTGTTCCTCCAGTGGCAGCAGCAACGCGATTAAGATCCTCTTCCGCCACACGGCCAGCACAGAAAATATCACGATCTGCGAAATACTGCCAGAGTATGCCCCTCATTGTCAGACACCCATGTAGTGAAGTTATCAAAGCAAAAAATTTGTTATGCCTCTTGATTTAAGCACCCAACGCAACAGATCAATCAAATTGGCATTCATTTATATTGATCTACCGGGTTTAACATCATAAATTTTAGAAGGATAATCTCAAACCCTCAAGCAAACGAAATTACAACAGTTTCGTGTTTAACATGTTTAATCAAACTGAAGATTTGAAAACCAGAACTCATGAAATTAACCAGGCTTCTTAAATATGATAAAAAGTTAAAAACAAAGTTTGAGAACAAGCTAAATCAGATCTTTAAATTCAAGCAAACTTTGCCAGAAACAGCCATATATCAGATGAAACAACAGAAGTATAGAGCTAAACCACCTGAGTAGCTAGATCACCAATAGCCAACCGAGAAAGCACCACTTTTGCTCCACTCTGTACACATTTGTCCAACTTGTCGTAAATGATATTCCATTCTGCATCAACGATCGACTGGTACTGCGTTGGATCTGAAAGCCTGTAATAAATGGTGGGAGCTGAGTCCAGTGCGGTCAAAATATGCAAATTTGAAAGGGAAAACGACCAGGATTAAGCAAAAAAGATCCAACCTAATCTCAGCATTTTCTTTCTCAGATTTCAACTCCAACTCGATGTTAAGCAATAATATCTTGGGGTCAACAAACTTCTTCGGCTGTTGTTCAAAACCCGCGTACGAAAATGTCTTTTTGAAAGCAACACCATTAACTAGAAAAGAATCTCTCATATTACCACCAGGAACCTGTAGAGCAAACAATACAGTCAGTGCGAATATCTATGCCTGTAGTATAAGTGAAATAAAATTACACAAATGAGAAAGTTCTATAATTCAACTTTTATCTTGGAAACCCCTAATATCTGTTTGATTGTCAAAAAGCATGGATTGTGATTCCATCCATATACTTTCACCCAAAAACTAAATACACCTCAGCAAAGGAATGTAGCCAAACCCAAATGAAGGTAGCATGCAACAGACAGGAGGAGAGTCGTGGAAATTAATTGTAGTTTGAAACTGCTAGAAAGCCAATTCATCTAAGATCAAAACAAATTCCTCATAGCAATTTGAAAATACAATAAACAAAAAGAAAAAATATGTAAATTCAATGATCCTAGAATGCAAATTACGTGGTATATTACAGGTCGCGACTCTAGCATGATTAAATATGCTGAAGTTTTGAGAAACATTTGAGACAAATCTTATGTGAATAAATAATAAATTTCCAGAACAAAAAATGACACAGAAAAAAAGAGTAATAGAAGGATGTGCATACTTTCTTTATTCCGATCAAATTTAGCCTATCATCATTCCCGATAGCCATGACAGCATCAACAACCATTGATGCAAAGAATTCCTTCTCTCCACCAATGAGCTTAGAGGAAAGTGTGGTAGCAGCACATTTACCCAACAGGCATTTCTTTTCGTCTAAACTTTTCCCCTCAATGCTAGTGGCAAGTTCTTTGATCTTCTCAATTGCCTGGATCATTAAACGACGTTAATTAGGAAAGTAGAAGTCCACAGCTTACTTTAAACATTGTTTTGGTGGAAAGAAAGCACAAACCAAAGAGCAAGCAGTGCGATAACTCCTTATCAAATTCTGGGAGTGAACGCCATCCTCAATAAATGGCTTGGCCTCCTTCAAAAACTCTGCTGCAAGTAGAACAACCGTAGTAGTCCCATCACCAACCTAAACAGCAACCACAGTAGATATTGCAGAGATTACAATCCACAGCAAACTAAACTGTGAAGCAATGAGACATCCCAAGGGAAACATCTTGAAAACTGCCAATTGGGTCACACACACTAGGTCTCCAGTGAACATTTTTTAGATTGCAAGTCCCAAGAAAACCTATCAATTCTCGCAATAACTTTAGCCATCCAAACCCGCAAAAGCGTTTTGAAAGTTATGACTAAACACTGATTCATCTGAGGCGGATCCACGCACAGCCCAGACAATCCATAAATAAAAGGCCATAAGTTCCCAAACCACATAATCTCGTTAAACAAAAAACTCCAGAGAACAGTAAAAGAATAGACACGTCGAAATCCCCGAAACCTAGATCGAAGGAAGAAACAGTTGAAAAAACCACCTCGGAGTCCTGAGATTTAGCGATGTCGACGAGGATCTTCGCCGCCGGGTGAATGATGTCGAGAAGCTTCATGATGGTGGCGCCGTCGTTGGAAATGGTGACATTTCCCTTGTCGTCGTGGATGAGCTTGTCCATGCCTCGCGGCCCAAGCGTCGTACGGACAACGTCGGCGACCGCCGTGCACGCATTGATGTTGCTGACAAGCTGCGGCTTCCCCTGCGACGTGTCTGTACCTTCCTTCAGCAGTATGATTTGAGGTTGCTGCACTCGAAATCGGATCACCACAACAATGTCGAATCAGCGTATGAACATATATATGCCCGAAAAAGAGAGAGAGAGATGGACACATGGAAGAGAACAACGTACCATCATCGCCGCCATTGGAAATGCTCGGAAAGAGAGAGCTAGGGTTTTTGGTTTTGTGTTTGATCTGAGAGGCTGGAGAGGGAGACCCTTTTTTGGGAGTTTCTACACACTACTGCGCCAATAGCAGCAATATGTTTTTTTAATTTTGATTTAACAACGAAATGACGAATGTGCCCTTCCGGATTCGCACTCTATTTATAAATCTATTAGAGTTACTTAAATTTAATTAATTTTGGAAATGATAAAATAATCGTAGTTATAATAAGCACAAACTCGAGTATCAGCATACCTATTTTGTTACATGTCCAAAAAAAAAAAAAAGAATCGCCTTGGAATGGACAACGAAAATAATATCCCATCACTAATCAGTTAAACAGTTATTCAGAACATAAAATAAATTAGACCACTAAAGTAAAAATCTCGAATACACGTCCCATGTACCTTCGGATGGAGGGCTCCTTTGGTTCGTGAATTCTGGTTTCCAACCTATCCGAGCCAAAATCGACCCAAATCGAATCGAAAGGAATACAAATGGATATCGATTTGATGCAATTTTTGTAGACCGAATAAAACGTTTTCAAATCGAACCGAACCCAATAAATAAGAAGCACAAACCCGAATATTCACAATCATGTATGAATTTATGATGTAAATATAAAATTTTGAACCAAACCAAACCAAACCCACAGAATCGACATCCGAGACTACTGATCAGTGAATTCACCATCTTTAAGGCTCTTCCTACTGCTTTTTCTCGATGTTGTCTTTTTCGTTCTTCTTTTTACCAAACCCAACACTTAAAGCAATTTCCAGATGCTCAAAATAACAGGAAACAGTGAATGAACAAAAACAGCTTTCAATAATAATTATTCTCCACACAGATGAAAAAGATAGATCCTCAATTCTACAGTAGAAAAATTGTCCTCCACTTCTAATTCCCACTGCGGTCTCAAACAAACCATTTTTCCAGTAAAATTATGTAGGTAGATAGAATTACACTGATAACGACGACGACGGGGAAGAACCAAAATGCATTTCGGCAAGCGCTCCTGCTGTACGGCCATGGCTGTTCTCATCAGCAGACGGTATGATTCTCGGGTTCTATCGTCGCCCTTTGCAAATATATATATAACATCCAGAGCGGATGTCAAGCTGCTTTGCATGGCAGCAAAAAGTTCATATGACTTCCCGCCTCGGACAAGCTAGCTAACTCCTGAATGCAGCTTCTGAATTTCTCTCTCTACAAGCTCCTGTAATCAATAACGGTGACTTCTTCCTCGGGGGCATCCAGATCTTGATAGCTGCTCAAGAGTTTCGCATTAAGACAGGACATTAGAACCTCATAAGAACTTGCTATCATTTGACCTCATGTTCCCACTCAGCTCATATCAGATTTTTTTTCCAGACAAGTTTTAGAATATAGAGAGGTTTAAGGTCCAAGCCTCAAGCAACTTATGATGTCACCTGAAGATTTAACGTTCAAAAGCAAAGTTCTCGATAACAAACTGTATGGATCGAAAAATGCATAGATTACCTGCGTAACCGTCTGGGGTCCTGTCTAAAGGATGGTTGCAGCAGAAAAGGGGCTGGTCCACCCAGCGGAGGTCCAGACCTTCCACCTCTGCCGCTACCTTCAAATGGAGGAGGAGGGCCACTTTGGTCTCTGAACATCTGCATTGCAACTTCAGGCGGTGCTGGGATAAACGGTCCTAGGGGCCTGTCCAAGTCATAAAACGAGGCTATGATTAGTGAATTTGCCAATGTTTTGGTCTAGGAGAGGTGGTGTCATGAAGATTTTTGACCTACCCAGCACCGGGAACAGGCATCAACACTGGTGGTGGAGGAATGTCTGAAGAGAATGGAGGAACATGCACACCTTGTTCGCCAAATGCATCGTATCCAGCTTCATCGGGATTACACCCATCAGGAGCATCACCTTCACCTGGTTGTGGATTGTCTGACCGATCAAATCTGTCATTGACATTAGCCCGTCCATCACGATCTCTGCGTCCACGGTCATCCCTCAGTCTGTTTTCTATGCCTGGTTTACGTCTAAAAGGCCTGTCCCTCTGTCAAAGGTAATCCTATCCGAGTGAGTACAACTAAAATAATGCGATCTACTGAAAATTCTTTCAACAATCACTAGAGGTAATGCTTTGTCCATAGTAAAGCCAATATCATGAATAATTGAATATTGTTTTAAAGGAGAAAATTCCGAGATGTCTTAAGAAATGTCATGGAAGAAAGTTTAGGAGCTAATGCAGTAAAATGTACCGGTTGCTGCATCACTGGTTGTCCACCTGGAGCATTGGGATCGCTGCAGAGTGCAGACAATACATCAAATTTTTATTTAGGATTCATCCACGAGGAAAAAAAGAGGATATCCAAGAGAAGGCCACACATACTTCATATAATTCTGAAAATACAGTTCTTCCCGCACTTTGGCAGTCAGCTCCATCACAAGGTCAGGATGTTTTAGCTTCAGATGTTTGTGCACAAATTCAGCAGCATGGAATAGCTTCGTGCAGCCCTTGGCTCCACAACCATACTTCCAGCCGTACTTCTCATCCCTAATCTTTCGAACATGTGGATCTAAAACTTCAACAGCAGCAGCTTCTATTTTCTCTTTGGCAGCCATCACTTCCATGGGATCTTGACCTTTTAGTCTGTCCTGCCAACGTGAGTCAAGTTTCTTTTCCCACTCATCCTCTTTTGAATCCAAACCCTTTCCTTCTGCTCTCACATGCCTCAGACCCTTAGCCTCATTTGTTTCAATCATTCCGTAGTAATCCAAACCGTGAACACGCCAAAGATAAGTTACAAGAGTATCAAGCAATTCAACACCCTCGAGGCCTTTCACAGAGGTTAAACCCCTTATGATTATAACCGGACCAGTGGAGCCACTGTGTAACTTATCCCTACCTGATTTTTCCTTATCTGAGCCAGATAAAACATTTTCCTCTATTCCTTTTTCAGAATCTAACTTACGCACAAGAGCTTGTGCTTGTTCAATGTCAACTAGGACTCTCCTTGGTTCAGAACTGACAGAGTGAGCTTTGGGCGCAGCTAAAAGAAGATCATTTTCTTTAGCAGGTCCTCTAGCACGTCTCCTCCTTTTACCGCCACCATCTGCTTCATCCTCAGAGTTTGGCTCACTGGTCTGCCCAGGTTTACTCAATGTTGTCACTCCAGGACCTCTACAAGAGATCAGAGGGAAATCATGAGTCTCCGTTGAAGGCATAAACAAGGATGTGAATGACAAGGCAGTGATCTTACAAGTCTAGCTTCCCATTTTGCAAATCAAATAAAAAATCCTTTGCCACCTTCTGTGCAAGTTCATTCCTCCTGAATTTCCAAGAGATATAATCAGAACCACATCGGATAAAGGAAAAATAGGAACAGAACCAAGAAAGAACAAGAATATAGACACTCAATAGATAATATTACTATGATACCGGCAGGGGCTAACGGTTGTTCTAACCAGCGTAAAATGGCTCTGGAACTCACCTCTCAATGACAGTGAGTAAATTTGTAGGATGGTATTTGTCCTTCAACCTGCACTCATTACATACACAAGCATGCTAACAGGTTAGCTAGAAGAGTTTCCCTGAAGAAAGTGAAAAAGGGAAGAAAAAGACAGTGAAGACACCATTCTTCTTCTTTGTGGGCATCAAAGAAGACACGTTTTTGTGTTGTGATATACTCTGATTTGTATTCTTGATATCTGCATCAAAGAAGCAAAAGACCGCCATCGCTTCAAAATCTCGAAGACAAGACAAGAACCCAAAGAAAGTAAGTCAGAGGTGACAATACCTGCGTTCGGCGTCCGATGGCAACACATCATCTTCCAACTCCTGAATAAACTGTTTGTATGACATCAAGCCTTCCCTGGAAAATGGTAATATGCCAGTGTTATATGTTAAACATATTCAACAGAAGCAGCAGCAAAAGAAAGTACCCAGGAGCATATACAAAAAATATATGGGTATTACATTCATTGCCAATTTATTTGTTGCTTTGATGTCAATGACCTCAGAACAATAAAAGCAAACACTAAAAAGGAAAACATAGCAACTCATAATCTACAGCAATATTCCCCAAAAAAAAAAAAGACTTCATAGTTCAGTAATCTTGAAACAGGATCCTCGACTAGAATAACTACATAAGCTGATCATTGTGATCAATGGTATTGCCAAAATTCACTTTAAATTTACAATGTTCTAAAATAAATGTTTCTCAATGACCAAAGAAGAGAGTACTTGGGGAAAATAAACAACTTAGTATCTCATAGTCTAAGCAATCTTTCGAATCAAAATAATTTATTTCAGGTTGCATAGATTCGCAACAGGATGTTCCAGCAGAATACCTGCATAAAGTGATCAACGGCATTGCCAACAGTTCATTTGAAAATTCCAATACTCTTAACATCAACATTTTTTAATAGCTAAAGAAGAGAGCAAATCCACTTCTTTGAACAGGAATAGCCTTCCTACATAGGATATACTTCACTTTCTTCGCGCATCATTAGAAAGTAGAAACTCTAAGGTTCCTAGGTTATGCCTCGCTGGATCAAGAGATAGACTAGAGAAAAGAACATCCATAAGACCCATATAATTGTTTTTTGTTCTGCCTCAAATAGCCAAGAACAGAACAAATAATGAAAGCTGACACATGGCAGAAGTAAATGGAAAACAAACACAGTTAGCAAACATTACTGAACACTAACCTTGCACTTCCGCTGTCGGAAAAATCACCACCACAACCTCCACGGCCTCCATCCCAGTCTGTCAAGAGAACAGACAAAAAAACTTTAGACAGAGATCTATAATTTAGATTGTTCGTCCACTACTGGACTTATCAGTTCCTGGTTCCAATTGCTTGAACCTCATTGCAACAATGCAAAAACAGCAGCAAATCAAGCTTTGATCTATAAACTGAACTTGTATATAAACCAGAAGTCTCAAACTCAAGAGCAGCCTGACTTTTACAAGATAGTGCAAAAATAGAGATGTTTCAGCATATCTTTCTGTCTAGCAACTTTGAACACATAAGCAATGGAGGTCATACCTTGATAGCGACCCATATAGCGACCATGGGGCCTATCAGCTAGGTAACCAGGCCTCCCACCCATTTCACGATCATATCCTCTGCCATAGTCATATCCAAACCTGTCCCAAGAAGAAAATATTCAAATGCCGATTAGGTAAGCCAGAAAATATAAAACTTACTATCAGATATCACATCTTCTGATAGTAACAATTTCTCTAGCTCAAAGTTCCAGAAAAATCTTCCGGGAAAAAAGGAGAGAATACAATCCTTTTAGCTGATCAAGCTTTCCAATGCAATGAAGCAACCTTATTCAAGGAACATGTTACATGCTCTAGTAGGTATACACAGACTACACGCAATGAAAAGTTCAGATGTAGCGCCGTAGAACTGAATCAACTGATAACTGATACACATAACACCGAAATTACTCTGGTATTATCTAGCTCGAATTTCTCTCTTTTTTACAGTTTTAGTTTCCGCATAATCATTTTCGTCATCTTTGTCAAACTTCCATCCACTAAAACCCAAATCTCGAACCAAATCATCCCCACTCAGTACAAAAGGATTATATAAGAAACCTGGAAAATGTGCATTACAAACAAACCACCAAGGACTCAACAAGAAGAGAGAAAAAGCTCGGAAATTTAAAGTATGCTCACTAAAAAAACTTACCTTCTATCCGGCGGCCCATAGCCACCGCGAGGGCTACCCCGGCGACCACCATACCCGTTATCGTCCCTCCTACGCTTATAAGGTGGAGACCGGCGCGCAGGAGGTGAATGACGCCGATCTCGGTACGGTGGCGGAGGGCTCACGCTCGGCCGCCTCTTATACTCCCTCCGCGGCGGCGGAGGAAACGGCGAACGCTCACGGTTTCGTTCCCGGTCCCTGTCGCGGTCGTAGTTTTCTTCCCCTCCACGGAGATTCGGTGGCGCACGCTCAGTGTCCTTGTCGTCGCGCCGCTCGCTGGAATCTCTCTCGCCGCGGCGAGTCGACTGCTGCTGCTGCTGTGATGGCTGAGACGAAGACGCCGGTGCAGTTGTTTGTGGCGGCGGTGGCGAAGTGGAATTCTCCCGCGGCTGACCGCCGGCGAATTCGGCGGGAGCTTCGGTCACATCGGCCATTGGAAGAGACGAACGGAACCCTAGATGGATTGGAAAGCTTGCTTTTTTTTTTCCCTCGTCGCTGAGGTCTCAGAGATTTGTTGGAATTCGGGTCAGTTGTTTGGGGCGGCGGTGGCGAAGTGGAATTCTCCCGCGGCTGACCGCCGGCGAATTCGGCGGGAGCTTCGGTCACATCGGCCATTGGAAGAGACGAACGGAACCCTAGATGGATTGGAAAGCTTGCTTTTTTTTTTCCCTCGTCGCTGAGGTCTCAGAGATTTGTTGGAATTCGGGTCGGGTTTAATTACACGGCCCAATTAAGACCCAACTGGTCAAATGATCTCACCCATAAAATAACCTTTTGCAAATAGTTTCAGATGATAACACCGTAAATCTTATGCACATGCGTGTAAATTTTTGCTAGTCTAAAAAGGACACACATAAAATAAATAAATATACTTAGAACAGTTTGCATATAATATCAAATATGTATGTATCATTATGTACGTATATGTATGTAACATATACTTGGAACAGTTTATCATATGCTATCAAATTGTATTTTTGTAGCAATTGAGATAGAGGTCAGTTTATTGTAATATTTATGTTTTTTTTTTAAAAAAAATTCGAACGTAGTTGTGGTTTGAAATATTTTTTCTTCTAACTAAACTTAAAAACCATATGCCCAGTTTGAATGAAAAATTTCATGATAGATATATCGTATTTAGGTTTTGAAATTGTGAAATATCTAATTTATACCAATTTTAGAATATTACAATTACAAACCCCAAAAACATATGAACGTTATTTAAGAAAACAAAAAAAAAATCTGTACGCACATGACTTTTGGAGAACCGTACTTGACCATCCAAAAAAATAAAATGAATTTACATTATTGTCCGGTAGTATTTTTTTCTCAATTTTCTCAAAAAGTGGGTGAAAAAATTATTTGTTTTCATGAAATAAGAATATGCATGCTTCAAAACAATCGAAAAGGGGGAAAAGATTCTCGTCGCAGCCTTTTATTTTTATCCCATATATATATATATATATATA